CCCCCTCCCCCTAGAAACGGAAACCACGCGACCCCCGCAGCGGCGCCGGCCGTTGGCTGCCTCACACGTCCTTTCGAACGGCTCCTTCTTGTCATTGGCTGCTGCTGCCCCCGCTTCCGAAACCTCCTTACTACTGGAGCAAATATTTGTCGTTCCGAGTGTTTGGCCCGCCCACTTAGGGGCGGGGCAGACGCTCTCCCAGTCCCAAAGGCCATTGGCTGACAGAGATGTCAGTCAGAGAGATAACGGCGCTTGCCGGGGTGGGTGGGGGGTGGGTGTCTTGGGGAGGGCAACTGGCCTCCAACTTCTAAGGCTGAGTCTCTGAGAGTGAAAGTGTCTGAGAGCGGTGACCTGCTCAGACTTCCTGTCCGAGGGTTTTCTTCACGCTGGGGAGTAAAAAGTTAAACTGCTTCCCAGGGGTCCAGCTGCATTTCTCCACCGAGAACCTCACAATCTAGCGGCTCTAACCCTCGCTAATGAACTGCTTTCCCTCTCCACATGTGCCAGTCACCCACTTTTAAGTGGAAACTTGTTTTCTCGGTTCCCCAGGGCAGAACGTCCTCCCCCACCCCCACCCCCTCTGTCCTGAGCCCCTGGCCACCTGTAGGGCAGCCTTCCACCTTTCCTGTCCAGTCTAGAAATGCTCCGATTCTCTAGTTGGTCTCCGGAGGACGCCACGCGACCAGTGGACGCTCTTCCTCATCCCACCACTTCTCCACCTGGGGTCCCAAGGCAAATGCTAATCAAGCCCCAAATTGATTTGGTAGTGAGTGTGAAATAGACCGGTTGGAACGTTAGGTAACATCTCTGTAACTGGAGTTCTCCAGTTGAAAATTCAATGATGATTGTATTGAACTGTCTCCAATTCAATACTGGATGAGGGCTATATTGAACTGATTTAATTAAATGCAATTTTTAATGATAAATGTTATTAACAGACAACTCAATTTAGAAAGTTGAGAGTGCTATATACAGCAAACCTTTTTCTCCTGCCTCTTTCTTAGGTGAACAGTTTTTTTCTGCATTTAAGTTTGGAAAAAAGAAAATTAGAAGAAAAACTGTTATTAAATCTGGTCTTACTCAAATAATACTCATCCACATGCATGAACCAATTAAGAAGGAAATAGCCTCTTTTTAAGAGATGCACTCCAATATTTTAGTTTTTGCAAGAATTTGTGTATGTTCTGAACAATTTTATACTAAGTGTAACCCTTTAAAAACATTGATTAAAATATTTCAATTTATGTACACATTTGTGTTGCCAGCAGATGACAAGGTTATCGATAATAAACTTTAAAGCATGAAAGGAAGTTCCAGGTAGAATAAAACTGGGTGGAATGGAATGGAATTATGGGAAGAGAAAAAGGGGATGTTAAAAAAGAGTTGGTTGTGAGCCCTCCTTGGTGATGCAATGGGTTAAAGCACAGCACTATGAAGTTATCGCAGTCACTGCAGCACAAGTTCAATCCCCAGCCAGGGAGGTGACCCACATGGCACAGCAGACCTCTCCTGACCTGCCCGCTGCTCCCCTCAGCAGTGTGTTTCAATCCATCTGCCTATTTTGCTCCTCACTCTGTCTCTGGTGAATCCTCTCAACTCCCGCACCTCTGGCCTGTACCCCAGTTCTGTATACATAAATAAATAAATCTTAAAAAAAAAGTGCTGGTTCTGTTTTTAAAATGTAAGATGTTGGCTCTCAAATCACTATGCTTCTTGACTGGAAATGAATCAATATAAAGTTTGTAAAGTGCCAATTATTATAACATACTGGAAATTACTTCCTGTCCAATTATTTAAACTTATCAATAGAATATTTTACATGTCAACATAAACACACCTGAAGGAGGGAAATAGATTTTCAAAATTCTTCAAGGGAGCACAGGACCAAAACGGACTGAAAGCCAGGCCCAGCTTCTTTGTGGACAAGTCCTTGTCAGCAGAGAAGCTGACTGCGCAAGTCCTCCAGCCAAGCTGGGTTGAAATTACCCTTTTCCTATTGTGTGGGAAAGATTCTTTTTTTTTATTTAGTGTAATTGACATATTGAAGTGCATTTATTTTCACAACAAGCTAGTATAACCTGTACTTAGATCAGGAAATAAAATGGTACCAACACCCCAAAAATCCCCCTTCTGCTTGACCAAGTCTCTCTGCTTCTGAACCCACATTTCCAAAACAGGGGTAATAACACCAATCCCTGAGGGCGGAGGTGAGGATTAGATGAACACCTATCTACAGTGCAGTTGGCTAAGTGTGGGTGCAGGGTGTGCTGCTTAGGGTTCGCTGCTGTCACGGTTCCCAATGAGAGCCAGTGCCTCTCTCTCCTTCACCCCAGCCTGGCTTCACATGACTTCCTTAACACACAACTCCTTATAGAGGGGCTTAGACAAGACAGCAGCTACTGGCCTCAGGACCTGATAACAGTGATAGTTACACAAGGGCCCAACAGGAAATGTGCAGACTTTATTAGCTGTGTATCTCTGCTGCCTGCTAGGGCCCCAGAGTCAGCACAGAACTGTTAGGGGATGGTTGAAGGCTGGCATTCTATGGCCTTGGGTGTCTGCCACAGACCCCCCCTCTTCATCTCCAGCTAGGTGATGGGCCCTCGTCAGGAGATCTGACCAGTCTTGGGTGCTGTGCTGTGAGGTTGTGGATAGTTTGATGAGGAGGTATTCACACAAGAGACTAGAAGCTTCTCTTTTCTTCCCTGACCCTTCCACCACACTTGAGGGTAGCTGACCTCCTGACCCCCACATTCCATCACGTCTGTACTAAACAGCCCCACAGGAGTTGGGACAATTTGAACCCCTTCAACCCACCTCCTCTTGAGCCACCCAGTAGCATTTGTAGTTACGCTGAAAGGTCTTCAGAGGCCTGTGGTGGTGGCTGGCTGTCTCCCCGAGGCCCTTAGCTCTCACCGCGGCCACTTCCCCCCTTGGAATCCTTACTTTTCTGGCTCAGTGGCTCTAACTCCTGGCCACTCCAGGCTCTGAGCCATGCCTCTGGAAACCCTGTTGCTTGGGGACAGAGCCAAGGTGTTCCGGGAGGGAGGAAAAGCGGGAACCACAGACCAGCCCCTGTCCCCCCAGGGGATACAGAGGTGAGGCCAGGGGTGACAGGAACCCTTGCAGCTGCTGCTGCTCTGATGACAGTGTCAGAGATGTGTCCACGGCCACGACCAGGCGAGGTGTCCTGGAGGGAGTGTCCTTGCTCTTCAGGAAGTCACCATATCTCAGGGTCTGGGTGGGAGTTCGAGAAAGAGGGAGCAAGTGGTGTGAGGACCCCCACCAGGCCAACCCCACCTAGGGGCAGAAACTGGCAGGAGCTGTGTCTGAGGCCCTCACCCCAGCAGCGGCCTGCAGTCATGATGTGGGGGCCTTGGCTCGACACAGACCACGAAGGAGGCGTGGAAGCCGTGCTGTGCTCGGCCCCACAGCCGCCTGGGCCTGATGCCATGCTGAGACCAACGCAGGCCCGCCCTGGGGTTCTCCTGTGCTGCTCACCTGTGTAGGGGACCCATCATCCTTGGGCAGGCTCGCCCCTGGACTCTGAATCTCCACGGAGGCAGGAAATAAGGCCAGGTCATTGGAAGCAGGGCCTCCCAGAATGTAGCTGGCGTGGCCCTGGGGCAGGGGCTGCTGAAGGAGCTGCAGGATGAGGCTGAGGTCTGAGGTCATGCGGGACTCCAGCCTGCCAGACAGAACCCCACAGTCAGGGCAAGGCTGGGCAGGCTTGGCGAGCGCCCTTCGCGTTCGGAGGGTAGCTCTCAACCTTTAGCCTGCACCCCACTCCCCCAGGATGGAAGGGCAGCCTCGGGCCAGCTGAAGCTGTTGCCCTACTACAATCCACAGCCCACGCCCAGGTCCCCCTGTCTCCGACCAGATCAGCAGGACGCCCTGTGCACCCATCACTTCTGCCCATCACACCCTGCAGTGGGGACTTAACCCCAGGACACACCGCGGCTCAGAGTGGTTGCTGCCCTTAAGAAACCCTCTTGTCCATACCCTGCTGGCAATTTGCAGAGCCAGAATTTGAGCAGAGGGCTGTACTTCCCCAAGCCCGGGCCTGCCACCACAGTCCTGCCACCCGCAGGCCACACCCCTTTCCCAAGGGCCAGAGGGATCTGTTTCTGCAAAGGCTTGCTCCGGGGTCTACTGGGACAGGTCGCCCAGGGAATTGTGCTTTGAGGCAGGGTTGGGAGGGTTGCGATTGAAAGGGCCACCTTCCCAGAACTCGTAGAGCACCCAGCGATGGCCTTGAGCCACCAGGAGAGGGCGCCCGTGCCCACCCCACTGCAGCACCCCAATCCTGGCCCGCAGGGCACTCACCTGTTCACCTGGGCTTGCATCTGCTCTAGCCTGGAGCCTAGCTGCCGAGGCCAGCCATCTGGGTCTCCCTGAGGGTGTGGGGGGCTGTGCCCTGGCCGTGGGGGTACTTGCAGCAACTCAGGCCAGACATCAGATGCATCTGAGATGCTCAGGCAGGGAGACTCGCCTGCTGGAGGGAAATGAAGCTTGCACTTCAGTCTAGCTGGTTCCATAGGCCTGAGCAGCTCAACGAGCAAAAGCCGATACCCTTTCCCTACCTGCCAGGAGGACGCTGGCTTGGGAGAGTGGATCTCCTTACTTGAGTACCCTAGAACTCGAGGTACTGCCCCATAAGCGGTCTAGCTTCCAGGGCTCAGGAGGGGGCCCCAACTTGGGGCGGGAGGCAGCTGGCTGAGCAGGGACCCCTAGGTTTGGCCTTACCATCCAGGGAGCTGCAGCCCAGAGGACTCCCATCCCCTGGTGCCTCTGTGTGGAAGCCGGCCAGGGTGCGGGGTCATGGGTTGGTACCCTGTCCTGGAGACAGCCCTTTCCCTGGCATGGAGAACACAAGGCACAAGGTCTCGACCCAGGCAGAGGGAGGGAGCTCCCTCCTGTCATCAGGAGCTGAGGGCCCCACCCAAGGGGAGGCAGGATGAGAAGGGGCAGGAGGCTGGGCAGGGGCCTGGCCTGGGGCAGGATGAGGCTGGTGGGGGCAGCTTTGCTCACCTGACCGGTTGTCACTAAGCAGGAAGCTTTGGGGGGTCTTGTCACCTGGAGCTTGTTCAGGAGATGACTGGAGACCCCCGCCTGCCTTGTGGGGAACAAGAGCATCAGGTAACAGAGACCAAAGTGGGCAAGCCTCTCTGTTCTCCCCACCTCCTCACCCCAAGGCCCTTGTGGCAACTAGATGAGCATGTGAACAGGTGGCCAGGCCGCCCCGTGATGCTCCGGTGGCTTCCCAAGGTGCTCTCTGTTCAGGTGGGCAGGTGGATGGGGCCTGGAGATGGGCAGACGCCACAGAGTATGGGGGAGACTAGCTTGAGCCATACGGTTGGGGAGAATGCAGAAGGGCGGTTTTTGGTCCTCCCTTTCCTGAATGCCCGTGTGCCACCCTCAGCTTGGGGCTGGGGGTCTTTCCCGGGAAGAAGCTGGCTCTGGAGCCCTGACCCATTCAGGTGCTTTCAGCAAGGCCCTTGGCATCCCACCCTCCTGGCACCATGCGGGGATCAGTTCCTTCTTGCCCTGATATCTGGCCACTAAGCCCTTGGGCCACCTAATGGCTCCCGGCTCCTCAAGGTGGGGTCCTTCTAAGACATTTGCTGGACAGATCAGGAGAGGGGGGAGATGGCAGGTAGGAAGAGAGCAGAGGGCAGGGGTGGGGGCAGCTGTCCACAGCAAGCACAACCCTCTAGAAGCTTGGTTTGGGGTCGTGGCCAGCATTAGCCCTCCTCCTGAGCATGGGGGGGGCAGTGCTGGGGCCTCAGACTAAGCCTACTGTCCCCTCCAAGGTTCCTGTCCCTCTTCTCCACAAGCTGATTCCAGAGCCACCCCTCCACGGGTGCTCCCCAGTCTGCACCTGCTGGCCCCCACACCCTCGTGGCTGCGTGCTGCCTATTAAACTGTGTGACTCCTTATTGCCCTCAAGTTGCTATAATCTCCCCACTGAGCGAGTCTAAGCTTTCTCCACTGAGTAAAGAGGTGAGACAGTTCTTTGCACCCCAGCGATAAGACCATGACCCCACCCCTGCAGGCAGACATGCTCCTTTTCATCTTGGGCGATGTGGTGGGAAAAGCCTCGATTAGGGAGTCAACAGACTTGAGTTTGCCTTCAGCCTCTGCCTTCGACACCCAGCTGATAGTATGGCTGGATGACTTGGGCAGTGAGTTATGTCTCTCTGAGCCTCAGTTTCCTCACCTGAAAAATGGGGATAACACCACCATTGGCAAGGAGACCTACTGAGATGGGACAAGAGGCCTGGGGCTTAGCAGAGTTGGCACCAGTAAATGTACCTGTCATCCTTCTCAGCATTGTGGTGGCCAGGGAGGTGCAGCAGAAAAGATGGATGAGGGTGCAGGATGGGGTTGCAGGGAAGGGAGCTGGGCAGGGGGGTCCCCTCAACCAGGCTCTCGGCAGGTGCCTGGGCACCTCCTGTTGTCAGCTGCTGGAGGGCCACCACCTCCCGGCGCACCCAGCCCAGACTCACATCCCGCAGGTTGAAGGTGACTTCCAGCTTGCTCCAGAAGCTGTCTGCGAAGGCCGGGTACATGTCCAGCACCTCCAGCAGGTCTGTCTGCTGGATCTTGTGCAGGTCACAGTAGGTGAGGGCCCGAACATCTGCACTGGACTTGCCTGGCCGGGCATGGAGGCTGACGGGCTCCCCAAAGATGTCATTCTTTCCTGCCAGCCAGAGGGTCCACTCCAAGCTCTCTTCTGAGGGGCATTCTCCCTCCAGCCTGGGGGTCATCCCCCATCTCCAGGTCTCTCTGGATGACCACCCTCTTCCTGTTATCAGCACCCTCCTATTATTACCCACATTCCACCTAGTACTTCCTCCCTGCTCCCCAGGGGACAGTGAACAGTGAGGCTGCCTGCTCAACCTTCTCTCTCCTCACCCTGCTAAGATGCTGTCAGAGTGTAGGGAGACCCGGAACAGGAGGCACTCAGCAAGGCAAAGGCCTGAGGCTTAGGTTCCCACTCCCCATTTTGGGGCCTGGTAACCAGTATGGCCTTGGCAGAGGAAGCCTGGGAGAAGTCATCTCCCCCCATCTGGCCCCCAGCGACTTTATCTCTAACCTGAGTGTGACCATACACGTACTCCTTGTCCTCCCCTCCCCCAGCCAGAAGCTGTGGAAGGTCAATGCAAGCTGGGGAGGATGGGTGGCAGGGTGGACATGGGCTGGGCATGTGGCACTGTGCCAGCCACAGGATGCAAACATGAATAACACACTCCCACTCACAGGTGCCCCCACCCCATCCCTGAGAGGCAGGAGCCAAAGAAACCGATGAACCTGAGAGCCTTAGAACAGCAGAGAACCAAGAGCCACAGAGGATGGAGAAGCCTGTTCCACCAGGAGTGGTTAGGAGCAAGAGGAGGGGCTTGTATAGAGGGGGCTGGGGCATGAGATTCAAGGGGGACTGGGCTCCCAGGGCTGGGGGAGGGGGCCTTCAGGTCCCTTTGACCTGGCCTTGCTCTGACTTCACCTCCCCCAGTAAAGTCCAGCGCTCTCAACCAGGTGACACCGCCTGGGGGAATTCATGATTTGCACACACAGTGAAGTGTGGAAGCAGATGTCCCTGAGAGAACAGAATCAAAAGTGATTCTCACTTTTGAGAATCAGGCTAAGGCCTCGAGAGGAAAGGGATCCCCCAGGGTCACCCATGAATGTAGAAGCTGGAAAGCTGGGCAACACTATACATGATGAGGGATTATGATCTAATGTTCATTTCCACTCAGGACTAAATAACAGGGTTCATGTCTTGAACTGAAACTTTAATTGGACTGACTTCTTAATTATTCATAAGAATTATCATCCCTTCACATGAAGGCACTTCTAAGGTAGGCTGGGAGTGAGGGCAGAGAGGGGCCTGTGTTCGAGTTCAGTCCTGAAGCACCACTGGGAGCTGCCAGGGAGAGGCCAGGGGCAGGTGCCCCAGGCAAGTGGCAGCATGTGCAAAGGTCCTGGGGTGGCAAACAGGTGGCTCTGGAGAAGCATTAGTATTGTTTGGTCTGTTTATGGAATATAAAGGGTTGCGCTGGGAAGGGATGGAATATTCTGGTCTTAGGAGGGACCAGGTCTGGGACATAGCTCTGTGTTCTTGTGGCACACTTGGAGGTAGAGATGGTCGCACCCAGATGCTGGCACAGGTGAGGGTGCAGGGAAGAAGGGGAGAGAGCATCACACTGGGTGGACACCAATCAAGGACAGGCCAGAGGGAGGGCATGGGCAGAGGACCCTGAGCGGGCCTAACCAGAGGGACTGGAATAGAGCTTCCCCTGGAGACCAAGGCAGGGGAGGCTGAAGTCCAGGACCTGTTCAAGGTCACTAGTAAGCTGGTAAGTGGCAGAGACACTGTGTGCCCCAACGTCTCCTGCCTGGGGATCATAAACGTCCTCCAAGTGCCTCTCTGTCCCTACAGCTGCACTGAAAGAGACTGAGGACCCGCCCCTGTGGAAGGAGGCAGGTGCCTACCTGGGTTTCAGAGTCAGGCCCCTGGCCCTGGCCCCCTGCTTGCCACTGACCCACCACTGAGCCTCAACTTCCCTGTCCAGAAAATGGGATCTACAGCAGAGGCTTGGTTTAAAGATTCAGCTCGCTGGGCATGGAGCTCTTCCCAGCGCACAAACCTGGCAAAAGTTTGTGCCGACCTCATGGCAGGTCGGTAAATGTGCCTGGATCACATTAGGGACCCAGCGAACCATGCAGGCCCCTCCGGTGCCACCTCACCTACCCACACTTCCTGGCCTTCCCGAGACTTACCTAGGATGGCCACCACCACGTCGTCGCGCAGGATCTCGATGGAGCCGCGGGAGATGAAGTAGAGCGTGGAGAGCACGTCTCCGATATGCACCAGCGTGTCCCCTGGCGGAGCGTGCGCCGTCTTGAACTTGACCGCCAGCGCGCGCAGGCAGCCCTTGCTGGCGCCCTGGAAGGCTGGGCAGTGCTGCAGCAGCGCGCGGTGCAGGTGCAGGCAGATGTCCGCCTGCAGGCACTCGGGGAAGCCCTTCAGCACCTGCGAGGTGGGCGGGAGTCCAGCAGCGGGAGCAGGGGTGGGGGCTGGGGCTGGAGGAGCGGTGGGGTCGGGCCCTGGGGGTACCTGTACAGCAGAATCTTGACCTCTAGGAGGAGGGGCATTAGCTAGAGCAGCGGGTTGTTACGCGTCTGCAGCCCCCTGGAGAGCCGCGGCGGGACTCACCGCGTTCATGTCGATGCCGTTGGTGTAGGACCAGGTGTGCTGGAAACACTCCTCCAGGCGCTGCCGCAGCGGGCTGGGGATCTGGTGGAAGCGGATGAACTCGCGCACCCGCAGCATCTGCGTGTGGAAGCGCGCGGTGCCAGAGTACAGGCGCTGGATGATGGCAGACACGTTGCCAAAGATGCTGGCGTACATGAGGGCTGGGGCGGGGGAGCAGGGTTCCGAGAGTCAGCACCGCCCACCTCCCCACCCCGCCGCACCCCCCAGGCCTGCTTCAGGCCCCCTCTTCCTGGGATTGCTCCCCATCAGGGACCCCCTCCTTCCAGTGCAAAGTCAAAAGTGCCCAGACAGTGCCAGAGCACCTGGGGACAAAGCTGGCCAAGTTCCCTGCCCTCCCTCCGCGCCCTGCGCCCTTTGGCACTTCCGTGGGCCCAGAGCCCAAACTTCTGCAAGTGAAAAACTAGGGCAATGGATTTTTTTAGTCGGGTCTGTTTTCTCTTTCAAGTTGTAAAAATATAAAGGAAAACTCTTGGTCTCTTGTTCTCACCTCCTTTTCTTCTTGTTTTTGTTTTTCTGGGCTTTCACATCTCTAAATACTTTGAACATGACAACTTCATCACTTCCACACTGCCTCCTGCGTTCCTAACCCCGTGTCTAGGGAGGCAGGCGGCACAGAGAGGGGTGTGAGAGCCCCCACTTCCTTCAGCCGTCCCCATGAGCCGCGCCTCTGTGTCACCTCTGACGAGTTAGGACCTTTGCTTTCCCTGAGCTGTAAACCGAATTGCCCCCGGCAGGGTGGGGGTGGGAGCAGCCCCTGGCAGGGCCAGCTTCTCGGCCACAGAGCTGGGCGAGGGCTCTGTGCCTGGCTTGATGCTCTGCTGTCCCGACCTTGAAGCCCTTAATACATTTTTTAACAAAGGGCTCCACGTTTCCATTTGACGCTGGGCCCTGCACGGAATGTTGTGGGTCCTTGTGCCTGGCCGATAGCCAGGGCTGCCAGGCCCCTCACAGCACACAGCACGTGCCTGCACACATGTGGCTTACTGATGCACCCCCCCCCCCAGTGCTGCACACTTAGGGTCAGCCTCTCACACTGTGGCTGCGCTCTGGGGCACCTATTACAAAACTAGAACTCCGGCCCCATGGACAAGGCCGGGGGCTCGAGACGGCACTCACAGCCGATGAGCATGACGCAGATGGAGAAGACCTTCTCAGAGTTGGTGTTGGGCGAAACATTGCCGAAGCCCACGCTGGTGAGGCTGCTGAAGGTGAAGTACAGGGCCGTGACGTACTTGTCCTGCACCGAGGGGCCCGAGGCTGGGTCGCTGCCGTTGTAGTGCTTGCCAAGCTGTGCGCTCAGGCTGTCCAGCCAGCCGATCTTGGGCTGCAGGTAGGGCCGCTCCACTTTGCCGATGGCGTACCAGATGCAGGCCAGCCAGTGGGCGATGAGCGCGAAGGTGCACATGAGCAGGAAAAGCACGGCCGCTCCATACTCGGAGTAGCGGTCCAGCTTCCGGGCCACACGCACCAGCCGAAGCAGCCGTGCTGTCTTCAGCAGCCCAATCAGAGTCGTGGTCTGGGTAGGGGGGCAGAGAGGGAGACGTGGGGCTGGGGGTCGGTCCTTGGAAGGGTCTGTTCCGGACTGCATCTGTTCATTCTCGCATGCAGTCATACAGTCATTCAACAAACACTTGTAGTGGTGCTGGGCAGTGGGGAACAGTGCAGGACCTTCTGGAGCTCTCAGCGTAGAGCTCGAGATCGTGTTATTGGCGAGAGACTAAAGTCCAAGGGGAATATGGAGGAAGGACAGGCCGAGACGGCAGGGCAGGGCAGAGGAAGCTTCGCAGAGGCGGTGACACTGAGGATTGAGGAACGGGGCTGGGTGTCCAGAGGGAGAAGGAAAGGATACTCCGGGCACAGGGAAGGGTATTCCAGCGCAAGCAAAGGCGTGGAGTGCGATGTGGCGCCACCCATGAGGGGCACCAGTGACTCTACAGCCTGGAACCCAGAGTTGAGGGTGGTGGCACATTAAGAAATAAGCCTGGGCCCTCCCTGGTGGCGCAGCGGGTTAAAGCACAGCACTGAGAATCTAAAGCCGCTTCCTCATGAGTTTGATTCCCGCCTGCCCCGGAGGAGATCCACATGGTATGGCAGACCTCTCCTGGCCCGCCCGCTGCTCCCCTCAGCAGTGTACTTCGTAGATCTGCCTGTTCTGTTCCCCACTCTGTCTCTGTGAAGCCTCTCACTGCCCCTGAGCCTCTGGCCTGTACCCCAGTTCTGTATGAACAAATAAATAAAAATCTTAAAAAAAAAAAAAAGAAATAAGCCTGGAAGGGGGACAGGGTCTCGGGGTCTGATCCTGCGGGCTCAGGGTCCACACAGAACTTGGCTTTTCTGCTGTGCTGTCACTGAAGCTTCCGAGGACAGGGGCAGGCTAGGGCAGAGGCAGATGGGCGAGCTCAGGCTGCAGTGTAGCAGGAAGGGAGGCTGGCAGAGATGGGGACAGAGGCGCCAGTGTCCAGGCAAGAGCAGGGGCGCTGGAGAGGACTTGGGGGTGGGTGTGACAGCAGCCAGTAAGCACGGAGCAGGAAGCCATGAGAGACACCCCTGCTGCACAGGCTGGGGGCGTTGGGGCACGTGGAGCCCAGAAAGCAAAGCTGACTGGCGCGGAGCTGACCTGGAACAGGTCGCAAGAGGACAGAGTGAGACTGGAGCTACGAGAAAGCCCTCATGCCCCCGTGAGCAGGGGGAGCAGGGGGCGAGAAGGGGGTCAGGCTACAGTGAGGAAGCAGCCTTTGTATTTCCTTTGTTTGAGGGTTTGAGGAATGCCCATTCCAGAAGGGCCAGGATTCTGGGGGCCGAGGGCCTGTCAGAGCCTGAGCTGCCCGGAGAGATGGGCAGAGAGGGGCCCTGGGGACACAGCCTCAGCCGGACCGTCTCGGGGGCGGGAGGCGACAGACGCCCGGGGTCCCGCTCACCGTGACCAGGTGCCTGGCGCCAGGCTGTGTTTTGCTCACCTCGTCAGAGCCGGTGCGGAAGATGAGGAGGTCGAAGGGGATGGCGGCCACCATGTCGATGAGGAACCAGCCCTTGAAGTAGTGGACGGCGATGCGGCGGGGGTGGCTGACCACCTCGTCGTTGGCGTTGACGTAGGTGGTGCGGAAGTTGATGACAATGTCCACGACGAACATGATGTCCACGATGAGGTCCACCACGGTCAGCGGGCTGCAGGTGTAGCTGCAGTTCCCTTGCTGGGACTCGTCCTGGTCACTGAGCAGGAAGGCGGCCGAGTAGGGGGTGAAGACGGCCGTGTAGATGACCAGCAGCAGGATGAGCCAGTCCCACACGGCCTTGAAGGGGCTGTAGTGCAGGAGGGTCCCCCGGTGGAGGCGTGGTGCCTGCAGCTTGTACTCCGGCAGCACGTCTGCTCCCAGGGACAGCACCTGTGGGCATCCCGGGGTGACCCGTGGGTGGCCACCCCTGAAGAAAGGGGTCTGGGAGGGGGAAGCCTGGGAAGAGGGCCCTAGGAGAGGTGGGTGACCTGGACTGTGGAAGGCAGAGAGGACGAGGCAAAGATGGGGTGGGGCCGATAGGAGGGGCCAGATCGCAGAGGATGGTGTGTTGAGTGCAGAGAGGAGGTGGGGTTCAGGGGTGTAGCTCTGCCCCATAGTTAGCGCAGGTTTGAAACTCACAAGCCCCCTCGAAGCAGGCCAGCCCAGAGTGGGTGGAGATGGGTTTGGGGAGGTGGGAGGGCAGGGGACGGTCACGCACAGGGTCAGCATGTTTCAGGGAAGAGCCAGGATGGAGGGGGTCAGTCCTCCCTGATAGACCCGGGAGGCTCCCGCTGGCCAGAGTTCCTGACAGGGACACTGTCCTCCAGAATAACTTGTTCGTGTCTGTCTCCTCCCCATCCTATGTCCACCCCCTGGCTCCTCTGGCTGGAGGTGGCATTACCGACAGGCCCTCTGACGCCAGCCTTCCTGGCTCAAGGAGCTGGTCAGCAGGTGATGGCCTCGGGATGGATCTTAGGTCTCAAGAATCCGTCTTAAACAGGGCATGAGGCTTGGGGTTCAGACAGCAGGGGACTGGACAACTTGGCTCCCTCATGTCGCCCAGGTCCCAGAGGAGCCCAGAACCCGAGAAGGAACCTTTGAGGCCTGTCCGCCCTGCCCTGCGGCCTTTACCTGCGTGACCTTCTCGGTGACGTTCTGTGTCCTCTCCAGCACTTTGTGGGGCGCGATGATCTCAATCTCTGTGCTGGAGCCTGGGCGGTGCTTCTCCAGGTTGAACTCCACGAAGTTGAGTGTGAACTGTGGGATCTGGCTGATGGTCCTGTACTTGACCTTGACCTTGCCAGGCCCCTGCGCCCCTGGCCTGCCATGAGAACCCTCTGAAACCAGCGCCAGGGTCAGAGCAGCCAGGGCCACGGAGCCCCCACGCTCCCCTCCCACAGGCACCTGTGTCCCTGTCTCACCCGAGCCCAGGAAGCTCTGGGACAGCAGACGCTGGGACAGGCTGCGGCTCCCGCTCTTGGCCAGGAGCTGCGCCAGGTCCTCGAAGTTGAGGATGAACATGATGACAGCCCCGTCCTCATTCTTCACAGGCACCACGTCCACTAGGCAGCGGAAGCTGGAGGCTGTAAACACCACGGGGGGTGGTTACCAAGGGTCTCCGGCAGCGACCTGGCCAGGGAAGCTAGGGAACGGATGGTGACGGCAAGTTAGAGTGACGGGGGCCTGCCCCATGCTGCCACCTCTCGCCCTTTCCAGACCTCTGGCCAAGCCTCACCTGCTCCCAGTCCCAGTGCCCAGCCTTGGGTCCCTGCGCCCCTGGCTAGTCACTGTACAGACGGTCTGGACCATGACCAGGGCTCCTTCCCCACCTGCAGGGCAGAGGTGGGCACAGCAGCTAAGCTGCTTAGGAGATAAGGTAGCATCAGACCCAAGGCCACACTCAGCCCTCAGCTCAGGGCTTAACCTCAAGGTTTGCTGCTATTGTGATTTAAGCTGAGCAGATGGGGGTGGGTTAAGGAAGGGGGGTGAGGTCGGCCATTCTGCCCCCATGGAGCTCTGGCCAGTCCTGTGTTCAGCTCCCACATTACTAGCCCGCACCAGTGCCCTGCTCCCCTGGAGCCAGGAGGGACTCACACCAAGGCTGGGCACCGAGCCCGTTGGCACATTAGGCTTCTGTCTCTCCGGTGGAGCCCAGTGGACCTTTGGGGGGCAGGAGGGAGCGCCTGGGGTTCTGAAGATCTGACCTGCTGGGGCTGAGAGGGGACATGGGGCAGCTTAGAGAATGGGCTTGTCAGGGAGGAGCAGGCTGGAGTCAAGGCGAGGCCGGCCGGGAAAGGGCGAGGGGCCCAAGGCTGGGCACTGGGACCGGGAGGCAGGTGGGGCTTGGGCAGGGCCTGGAAAGGGTGAGAGGTGGCAGCGAGGGGGCAGGTCCTCTGTCACTCTCCTTCCTCGGGCACCCCAGATCCGGTCCCTGACCCTATTGTGGGCTGGGGGGGTGATCCCCCCAGGAGCTCCCTTTCCATAATTGCATGTCACTCAACTCAAACTGCTGGGGGGTGTCAGCCCAAAGTTCACCCTCAGGAGGTTTGTGTCTCTGGCTTGCCACAGCCAGCCCCGTCCTGCTGCAGTTTGTTGGCTGAAGGGAAGAATGCGTGTAAATGTGAGTGGCTGCCAGGAGTTTACTACTTTGAGGTCCACTGAAATCACTTCCCCAGACACCCTATTCAGCACCGCCTCTCACCACCAGCGCCTCCCTAGCACTTTCCTCTGGGAAATCCTCCAGCAGTCACCTGCAGTAGATTCCTGTGAGGGGGAGATCTGACTGCTGTCCTTCTCCCCTTTCACACTTTTATGGGGTTCTAGTCTTGTGACCATCTCCACTCCTCCTTCCCTAGTAATTTGGTATTTTTCCTAGTAAAGGCAGATGGAGAGGGAGTTTCTCAGGGGCCTCTGAGCCCTGTCTCGTGGGTTTTTGTTAAGAACCTGGTCTCTTTGAGCCCAACTTTGTACAGCTAAGTGATGTGGCGATATATGGGTACAGACCTACTTCAACTTGGGAAGCTGTGAGTGGGTTATCCTACAGGGGAAACGAGGATTATAAATAAGCCAGCTAGTGGGCTGTTCGGGACCCTGTCCCTCCTCGCTGGACTTGAGGGGAGGAGGTATTGGCCTGAGGAGGGAAGAAACTGCTCATAAGATGTATGTAATTATGACAAAGAAGAATCTCGGGTCCGAGTAGGCCACGAGGTGAACATATCAACATATTAGCTGAGCAGTGCAACCTTCCCTTTGAGCAATACAGGCCAGGAAGCTCCTTTTCCACATTTCAGGTCACTCTCAGGCAGGTCCAGGTGATCAAGTGCTTGCTAAGAGGCCATGGAAGTGCTGAGCATGGTGTGACTAACTTAGTATTTAGAGTGATGGGGCATGTGGGTCATTCTCCATTTTCATCCAGGGCCAGCCTTCAGGGTCCCCGGGGCCCTCAGCAGGTCTGAAACCTGAGTCCTGCTCTCAGAGGGCCAAGATCTGGCCTTGACTTCTTCCTCATACCAGGCACATGCCCTGCTGAGGGGACCCTCAGGGCTCTGAGCTGGCATCATTAGGGTTCTGGGCTTGGCCTTCCCCTCTGGAGCTCCAGCAGAGCTCTGGGGCTCAGGAGAGGGACAGAGAAAGACTTGTGGTCCCCCCATCCTATCCTGCTTCCCACCAGGACCCTTCTCACTCTGCTGACTGTCACCTCCTCCTACAATGATGTGAAGAGGTGAAATCACAGCTTTTAAAAATATTCCGACTTCATTAACCCTGAGTGCTGTCAAACCAAACCAGATTCTTCTGAGTCTCCCATTTGCTGTCCCTGTCCGTTGAGCTTCCCAGCTGCTACTTCCTCAGGTGGCAGCAGCAGTGGACAGGAGGACAGTCAGGATCTTCCCTAGAAGCACTGGGGAAGCCCTTGAACAGACACGCAGGCACACACGCATACCCATGTTTGTGTTCACATTTATGCTCAAGCTCCACAACAGGCTCCTGGACTTCAGGGTCTCAGCAGCCCGTGGTTCCAATCCAAAAGTAAAGGGCAAAGCCTGCCTTTTACCTGCACCCAGGTGGCCCTCGGGAAATCCCTCCTTTGGGGTTTCCTCCAAAGTCCCATCTCTGAGCACAGAGGCAGTTGGGACCCTGTCTCCCCTCTTGGAAACAATTATCTTTGAGGGAAGAATTCAGAATATGTGGGTCCCAGTCCCAAGGTGGATGCCAGAAGTGGGATCTTGGGTAAATCCCTGCTCTTTCCTGAGCCTTGGTTTCCTCATCCATGAAATGAAGGGGTCTATCTAAGCAGTGGTTCTTAACCTTAGCAGAACATCAGAACCACTAGAAATATTTTTCCAAATAGACCTGCTTGAGACTCTCTCACCTGAGTCAGCCTCTTTCTAGGCAAGGTGTGTTTTGGAAAGCATGCCCCAGGTAATTCTGATGTAGAACCAGGTTGCGGGTGGGGTGGGGTGTGGGGAGTTGGTCCAGTGATTTTAAAAGGACTTTCAGGATCCTAGTTCCCAAACATCTCTCCCCTCCCCTCCGGTGGAGACTTGAAGATCCTGTGTTGGGGGGAGGGGTCTTACAGGGTTGCAGAACCCTGCTCCACCCTTATCCTACAATGCTGTTGTGTTTGTTACTGGACTGGCAGTAACATCCCAAACTGGGTGAGCCCCCAGTCGGGTAAGCGCCAATCACCTCCTCCTTAAAGAGCTGGGCTACAATGGGAACCAGGACCACCCCTCTTTCCCACTCAGCAGTACCCATGCCCAGCCTGACCACAGAGGCCAGGGGGGTGACTCCTCCTTAATCCCCAGAACAGATGGAAATGAGGAAAGGTTAATTTCCGTCCCAGCTGCCTGACAGCTGGGGCTGACAGTGACAGAGTGGACAACAAGGAGAAGGGGACACGGGGGAGGGATGGTGGAGATAGAGGCCCTGCCCAACACCAGGACCAGTCAGTGGCTCAGCCTGGTCTCTGGCCTCTGAAAAGGCCCTCAGAAGGCATTGTACCGAATGCCTGTGGCTTGCCCCACCGGAAGCCTTCAAACAGGCCCAGAGAGAGACAAGACTCGCTTGGCCCTTTGGGCCCTGGGTCCATGCCCTTCCCAGGGCCACCCTGACTGGACAAGGGAGGCACCCAGCCTGCTCTGCAGGACCTGTGGTGCGAGGGTGCCTCACCATCCTTGCGGTAGTAGAGGATGTCCACCTTGCATTCCTCAGCCCCCAGCAGGGCCTGCGCCAGGCGGGACACAGCGCTGCGGGGAGTGTTGGGGCCCGTGAGGAAGTCGCAGGTGCAGGGGCGCTGCATCACCTCCATCCTGGAGTAGCCAAAGAGCTCGCAGAAGCCGTCGTTGCAGTAAATGATGGCGCAGTTCTCCATCTGAGCATTGGCAATGAGGAACTTCCGACCTGGAGTGGGGGTGAGAGGTGGGAAGCCCGCAGCAGTGGTGGCGAGGAGAGGGAGGCAGGGAGGACACTATTGGGACTCTTGGCAGGGGCGAGGGGAGATGCAGTGGGCCAGCAGACGGTGACCAGCAAGGAGGAGGGGCAGGGCAGGTCTGGGAAGATAGGGAAGGCCAGGGAGGCCTGGGCCATGTGGGCAGTCAGCGGGCTCCTGAGAGACAGTGGTCAGGAGGGGGTAGCAGGAGTGAGACTAGAGAATAAGGGTCAGGGGAGTCCAGTCTGGGGACTGTGGGAAGACCAGGGCAGCAATGGGGTCAGTGAAGTGGGAGGGAGGTTCAAGCTTCCTTGTGGCCAGGTAGAGGAATCAGGATGTAACCAGAAGAGGGTCAGTCAGGTCTAGGAAGAGCTCCTGGAAAGACTGCACTGGCTAAGGACATGAGGTGAAAATAGGGAATCAAGGAAACTGCTGGGGAAAAGGCCAGGTGCAAGAAAGGGAGGTCTAGGCTTAGGGCACCAGGAATAACTCTGGGGGGCCCCTGAGTGCCAGGAGAGAAGATGGCATTTGAGGGGTCTGCTGGAGAAATTGTTCCAGGATGTCCAGGGGAAAGATGTTAGATTTGGCATCCTGTGCCCTCCACCCTGCTCCATTCAAAGTTGGTCAAGGGATGGGCCCCTCCAGCTACCACACCAGGACTCCAGATCCCCCTACCCCAGGGCACACACTCACTCTGGCCCTCGAACTTGCGGATGATGGTGTCCAGGTAAGTGTTCTGGGGAGCGACGTGGCCCCTGCGGACCGGCATCTTTCAGTTTCGGTCGCTGGCGGGCGCCAACAGCGCACCAGCTTCCTGGGTCTCCGCTTGTCCTCGGGGCTAAGCGGCGTCCGACTCCGGTGGGCGCCGCTCCGGGTGAGGGCGGCCAGGCTCTGTGCCCCGCCTGCCTGCCTGCCTGCCTGCCTGCCTGCCTGCCTGCCTGCCTGCCTGCGTCTACCCTCCGTTGCCCTCCCGGCCGCTCACCGCTCCTCCTCCCCTCGGCTCCCGCCCGGGAGCTGTCCGCGCGGAGGTGCTGAAAGAAGTCGCTCAGCGTCGGCGGGGTGGGGGCAACATCTCCCGGACCCCACGGGGTAGGGGCGGGGCTATGACTCCTGGGGCGTGGCCAAATGGGAGTAGGGGTTCTCCGGAGTTCCTATTCTAAAGGCCAGTGGCCTCAGCTAAAGGAACCGGTTCCAAAGCAACAGGACTTGGCCAGGCCGTCTCTCAGACAGTGAGGGAGCAGACCGGAGTGTTAGAAGTCTCAGATGGTCTTCTACTGAAGGTTCTTTTATGGTCTGACCGCTGGGCCTGCCCCTGGTCTGCTCAGAGCAGCCCTCCAGCTGAACTCCAGTGCTCATCCTAAGCTGTTATGGCAGCTGCTATGGTCCTGGGAGAACCGGGCAGGAACACACAAGGAATGTGCAATAAGGTCTTTCTTCAGAGGCCTGAAAGCTCTCTTAGCACACAGGCAATGGAGAGAACAGATCTAAAACCACCTATTAGCAAGTGACCACTGATAAGTGTTTGAGTACTGACTGAAAGTGAAAAAAGCAGAAGGGGATGGGGAGCTTTATTGAAAGAGGTTTCTTGAGAGGTGGGGAGCAGGGGACCACTGCTCATTGAACTTGGAGCTTTGCCGAGGGTCTGTTGACCAGTTCAAACCAGGCCTTGGAGGGCAAGGATTCAAATAGGCATGTGTCTTGGGCAAAGTCTGGGGATGGAATCAAAGCTAAAGTGGGAGGGATAGAAGAGGTGAAGTTGGAGAAAAGGGGAACTGATTTAAAAAACCCTCAGATGCTGTTTTGAACTTCTACATTTAATTGCTGGACAACCGAGTTCTTATGCAGTTAGACATGAAATATTTCAGAAAAAAAATTGACAATGAGGAGGTGGGGAGGGAGGACGGACAAGGAGGCTCAGTGAGGTTTTTGCTGGAGTCCAGATGAGAGGCTTGCGCTGCTGGGCTGGGTGTGCTTTTGCCATGCTGAGCCACAATGCCTGGTGGGGGCCTCTTTGGCTTCTTTGGGGGCCTCTGGCTGGGGGATGGGAAGGCTGCAAGTGTGGCCTCAGGGGGGGCAGCGGTGTCCTGGCTGCCCCTGTGTGTGGAGGGGCAGGCTGGCTGTGGAAAAAAGGTGGGACTCAGTGTGGAGGGTGCTGAGCTTCGAGGAGGGACTTGGGCAGTGGACACTCATGCATCCACTTACTCAAATATTTTCCAAGTCCCCTTTATGTGCCATGGCCTGTGCTGGCTACATGTGTGACGCAGAGGCACAGTTCTGATGGGTGTCCTACCCTTAGAGAGTTGACAGCCAGTGATGGGGACAAATAATGACAGTATAGCAAAGTAAAGTTAAGTTTCAAAAGCCTGGGTGGGAGCAAGAAGTGCTTGGGCTCACCCAGAACTCAAGAAAACCCTCTTCAAACTTAGCTAGAGGTCGAGTCCCTGGAGATTCAACCCAGTACCTCTGTTCCCTGGCCCCAACTTCTGAACCCAGCTCCTTAACCTCAGGGAGCTGGTCCCCTTTTGACCACCCTCCTGCCAGTTCAACTGCAGCACCGGTGCCTCCTTCTCTGTGGTTGCTGGCTGGGCTTAGAGCTTTCCCTTCATTCCAACAGGCACTAATTCTCAGACTCCTCAGGCACCCCCGGAGCTATAGTTCCAACTCAGGGGTCCCACTCTAATGGGTGTGGCATCCCTGTGGCAGGCAGACGCAGCCTGGAAAGAAATAGCTAGAAGGAGAAAGAGCAGAGGCCTTCCCTCTCTCCTCCACACTTCTTCTAGAAGACTCATCTCCCTAATGTCTTTCTATCAGCTCACCCTTCCTGGTGCCTCCTCCCCCATGGAGCCTGGGAAGGTGTTGTTTGCCCACTGCTCAGTCCCCCGGGCAACAGGCAGGGCAGCAGGTGTGTGTGTTGAACAGGCCATCTCCGGAGCAGAGTGGCTGGAGATGAGCGTTGTTTAAATATTAAAGAAGTCAATCATTAATCAGGCCTGGCTCGGTGCCCAGCTACCCACTGGCTCCATTTGGGAGCCCTGGACTAGGGTAGGGAGGGCTGTGGAGCAGTGTGCCTGCCGGCTTCTTGCATTTCAGTCAGTCAAAAAGCAGCTTTTGGGGTGAGGTGGGGGTGGGGCTGGATTATGCAACTCAACCCAGGGCAGACCAGAGGGCCAACTAAAAGATGTGCAGCCAGAACGTAGAGCAGGTGTTTGTGAACCGGCACCATGATTTGTAAAGGAATGTCCGATTCTACTTGAAGTCATTTTGTAAAGGGACTGAGCAATGTCCTGTTCCTAACTGAGTACACACAATTCTTGAGCACTGCAGTTCTGGTCCAACCCCGCAGAGGTTGTGTGAAGAACTGGTCTGGGAGTGAACTGGAAGGGGGCTGGCTTAGAAGAACACAACCACTGGTCACTGAAACTGTGAGTTTGGGAAGGAGGTTGGCCTGGAACCCGGAGCACGCATGGAATCACTCAGAGCCAGTCACCTGTGCACATGGCCGTGCATATATAAGTTCGCAAACACACAATCACAACCCCCCATTGTCCCTGGATCTGCCACATTTGCACCCAGTTGCAGTTTCAGGCTGTGCCCTCCCCCTACCTCCCCAGCTGTCTCTGGCTTGACCACCCTCCTCCTGACCCCCAGCCTCACCGGTCACACTAGAGTCTAGGCCCAGCTCCACCATTCAGCTCTCATCCATGGAGGCTTCCTGTTGTGCTGTATGAGCATCTGAACAGCCAGGGCAATTGAACATATCACCAGGATGAGGCAGACGCCCAGTAGGATCCACTGTCTTGTGGTGGCCTGGCGAGGATCCATGGCTATGCCCAGGAAGTAGGTGGTGGGCAGTGTCTTGGGTGCGCTGGTGTCCTGAGAGTCCTGGGTGTTGGTGTCTCGGGACAGTAACTGTTTTTCCCGGGAGTACAGCCTGCAGGCCAGCACGAGGGCCACCAGGAACACGACTAAGCTCACAACCAGCAACACCCACTGTCCAGTGTTGGCCTGGTCGTTGTTCAGCTGCAGACCCAGAAATGCCACCTTGTCTGTGACTTTTTCTGTGGAAAACATGGGCATCTTGTAGAGCAGGTGGAACTGGGGAGGGGGCCCCGGGGTGCCCTGGGGTGTCAGAGAGGACCTGATTGCTCTTCACATTCAACCAACATTCCAAGCTACAGGTTAGGGCATTGCACTGGAAGGAAGGTGAGAAAGAAGAAGGAAGAAGGAAGAGCAGTAGGAGAAGAGCACAGACCAGAGTATATGCCCAGGGCACCCAGCAGTGTCTCTAAGCAAGGGTCAGAAGGCAAGATGCCAGCCTTGTGCTCAGATGGCAGCCTGGCAGTCTAGCTGGACAGTCAAAGGAAGCAATGAAGCCAGCAGCTGGGCCACATGCGGTGGTCACAGGTGCATTCAGGGCCACCTGGCTGCCATGCTGTGTTCTTTCAAGCCAGGTCATAGATGGGCAAGGGTTAAGGCTAGATTCACAGAGGGGCTGGCCCAGGGGAGGCTCAGGTGGGCTGGGGGCAGGACCAGAGCTGGACCAGGTTCAGATTATCAAACCTTCAAAGGAACAGGTGAAGTCTGGCCAGCCCAGGATCTCCCCTTCCCGCACGTTCTCAGCGACCAGCCAATTCATCAAGGGCTTGAAGTATCTCATGAGGGCCTTTGCGGACATCTTTGTCTGCCCGGTCATCTGTTCCAGGACCTCTGGCCAGGGCTTGCTTGAACCCAGCTTTAGGACGTCCCTGGGGAGGGAGTAGAGCTGTGAGGCCATGTGTGTGTGTGGGGGGGATTTGGGGGTGCTGCTGGAACCCCTCAGTCTGCCCAACCCTGGCCTCAGGGCTTTTCCAGCCACTTCCACAGAGCTCACATGGTGGGTACAGTCCAGAGCTGGGTTTGAATCCTGACTCTCACTTAGTAGTTTGGGAACTTAGGTTAAATGAACTTCATGAGTCTCAGTTTCTGTAACCATAAACTGGAGATGACGATAATATTCCTCCCCCTGACACACACCAGTTTGTGACGATTATAGGCCCATGGGAGCATGGCAGGCAGATAATGCTGGTTGCTAATTATCACAATGGTAATAACCATTGCCCTATGATGATGATGATTCTCCTGGACCCCAACAGGCTAGTGAAACATTGTTTACTCCCATGAGGTGCCACGTGTTAGAAGGAAGAGAGAGTTCTTTAGCCCTTTCTGGTCCCACCTGGAGCATTTAAGGGGACTGGAGAGGTCATGTGTGTGGGGTGTGCCCTGCACATCGCCCGCAGTGCAGTGTCTCAAGGCACACCCAGTGCTTCGAGGCAGGAGGGTGAGCTTTAGGGGCACAACGGGGGTACAGTGCAGCCAGGGCCCCTGAAGAGGCAGCAATCCGCCCGCCAATCCTTCCCGACTTCTCCCCAGCTGAGGCTCAGGAGGCAGTGGGAGAGTCTAGACCAACAGGCTGCAGATTCAAGGCCCAGCAGTGCACTTACATCTGCAGGAAACAACTGAACCTGCCGTAACCTTGGTTTCCTCATCAAGGAAATGAGCCCCAGTGATACCTGCCTTGCATTATGGCGAGGACTGCATCACATGAAGATGGCCAAAGAGGGTTTTGCAGCTTGCACACACACACAAACACACACACCTTAATAAAACAACTGGGAAAGAATGAAGTAGGAAAAATAAAGGTGAGTGTGTCCAGGAGTCAGAAACTACTGGGGAAAAAATGTAATTAAGCTCCCAGCAAAATGGAAGCGACAAGTCATCCAGATGAAAAGAAGAAACAAAACCCACAACTAGCTTTAGAGGACCAGAGCAGGTCAGGCTCATCATGGCTGCCCGGGTGATGAGGGGGCTTTGGGAATTGGGAACAAGTCCGTTCAACCCTCCATTCTCAGCAAATCAGCCTAGACGCTTGGCCCAGGGCAGCCACATTGAAGACTGTGAGTCAAAATTAGCAAAAGCCTGTACGATTAGATGAAAGCACAGCCAAGATCTAGCCCTTCGCCTCTCCCCTGTAAGCACCAGCTCCTCTTCCCTGCCACAGCCGCGTTCTACTCCGCTGCCATCCGACCGCCATCTCAGAGCTCATGGCTCAGGACAGTCCTTTTCAGAGACCTCCCCTCTGCCCAGAAAATGGCCTTCGAAGTCCTCAACATGGAACCCAGGGCCTTCCCTGCCCAGAGGCCTGGACAGCGATGCCGAGGACTCATGGATGCCGGTCTGTGATGACTGGCAGGACCTGCACATGCTTTTCTGGCAAGTCAAACCCTGGGAGCCTGTGTCCCGGGCGGGGTGGGGAGATGACTGAGGTCAAACGTCCCACCGGTCAAGTAGGATGAAGGCTGAGTTCAAAGTGGCTTGATGCAAAGAAAACTGATGTCTGCCTGGGGCCTCGCACCCATCTTGGGGATGGAGATCCCAGGTCAGTCCCCTGACTTGACCTCCCCATCCTCGTGGCACGTTCCCGAAGTTTTTCCGACCGCACCACTCCTTTCTTGTCTTATTGATTTCCGCAGCCCACTGCCCCCTTGCTGGGTGCATGCAGGGCAGGCTGGTTGGCACGTGCACAAGCAAATGTTTACTGAATGAATTAATGATGGGCATGAGAGAGAGACATGACCGCGGAGAGCACTTGTGTCCCATATATTCATCAAAACGCAGACCGGGACAGTTGGCTGGAATAAACGCCTGGGATGTGAGAGGGCAGAGAAAGCAAATAGACTAAGGAGATAAAAGGCATGCAAGGTGCAGCCTCCCTGGGAGCAGAGCCAAGGGCTCAGTCCTGCAAACCCATCTGGCCTGGTGGCTACTGACAAACTGCATGGTGGAATCACAAATATGCTCATTAAATTTGCAAAGGACACTATGTGGCTTTGCAAATCCTCTGGGAGACAGGGGCAAAACTCAAGATGACCTTGGTCAATCAGAGAAGGGGATCTATTGAAAGCTGGTTGAAATTCAATGGGGGTAAAAGGACCAGGTCAGTGGGTGGATCCCGTATCACATTTCTGTGGTTGGAGCGCTGATCTTGGAACCTGCCTGCTAGGTCCTTTGACCGATGGGAACACCCACGAAAGAGAATGTTCTGGAATCATTTGGGGTTCAAAGCATGACTTTGTCACTTGCTAGAGGACTTGCTAGATGAGTGATGTGCAATCACATCACCTATCTTCAGTGGCATCCTTTGCAACTCGAGGTTGATAACATCCGCTTTGAAAAGCAAAGGCTCTGTGAATGCACTCCCTAAAGGGCCCAGGGAAAGCTTCCTACCTGCAGGCCAGTTTCCCATCCTGCTCCAGGTTTGCTGCTGCACCAAAACCAACCTCACAGAAGCCAGAAAGGGAAGGAAAGGCTAGATACCAAATGCAGGGAAGAAAGACTTGGGGGAGGAGTCAAAGGGGACCCCAGGCTGACAGGCAAGCGCTTGTGGAAAGGGGGTGAAGGCAACCTGAGTCAGCTAGGAAATGGACCCAGGCACCTCCAAGAAGAGATGGGAGAGGAAGAGGTGCCCCAAAGATGCATCAAGTGTGGTTGAGGGGATAAGTGAGCAAGTCGCAAGGGAAGAATTAGGGGGTTCTGGTGAGGTGGAGGGGGGATGCCAGCCCTGCTGTCCCAGCAAGGACAGTCTGATGGGTGGCGCCTGAGAAGCTGCAACAAGGACATGTGCTCTGTCAGGACACCGGACTGCAGCCAGACCCAGGGAAGAACGTCCCTAGGCTACACACTCTGAATGTCTGCTGTTGCCCCTGGGGTGTCCAGGTGGGGAGCGGGCCAAGGAGGGAAGGGGGCGAGGACACACGAGGGGGGCACTCACTCCAGGAGCTTCCCAGCTATCTTGGAGTTGTAGATGTCACAGCGGTGCAGCGGGCCCACGTGGCCTGCGGCCTGGCACAGTGCTTCATGGATCTGGAACTGGAGCACCAGACCTAGGAAGTATCTGGGGAGAGAAGGTGAGGGCAGGCTGGGGCGGGAACCTGAGCCACTGGGCGCCTCCGACACTCCGCGGTCACCCGGGCCCACGCTGGCCGGCACCACCAGAAGGGACTCCGCCAGCCAGCCGGCCACCTGCAGCTGGCCCTGCGCTACCCCCTTATGAGCGCCACCGACACCCCAAACCTTGCCTCCCTTCCCGTCTTTCTCTTGGGGACTGCAGGGGTGCTTTGGAGTATCCCCACCAGCTGTGCCCTCTACGTGCCATCACATATAAAAGCCTGAGGGACTGCAGAGCAGGCTGGGCAGCCCAACAGGAGGAGGTGGGCAGGGGCCAGGGGCCCCAGCTTCCAGAGCTCGCCTGGACCTTTACCGTAGGTAGGGCACGCTGGCAGAGATGTGGAACTTGGCGCCTGGGTCGAAGTCATCCTCCGACCGAGGGACGGGAGGGCACACGCCCTGGTACTTCAACCTGGCAGGGAAAATGGGGCTGTGTGTGACTCCTGGAAGGGTCCCAGGCCTGCTCCTTTCAAAGCACTTGCTCACTCTCTATCAAGACTGGTTCGGGCCTGCGGAGGATACCTAGCAATTTCTGCTGTCTAATGAATGAGTAGAAAGCCCAGGAGACTGGGGAGCAGTGGAAGTAGCGCAGTAGCACTGAGGCAGGGTGCAGGCCAGGAACCACTGGGCCCCTTCACCCCTCTCCCCCCACTCAGCACTCTAGCCCTGGGGACAGCTGACCCACTGCCAAGGTCTCTCCTGGAGTTAGAAGGACCAAGAGGAAAACAGTTTTGGTCTGGATTTGCCTCTCTGACCTGTGACAGGAAAGTGACTGTCACTGAGCCTCTGAAAAACGCCTGAGAGATGGGTGCTCCCGGGTTGGGGCGCTGTTAGGAAGCTGCTGCAGCCGCTTCATGGCAACTCTGATTGATCCTGGGCCCGGGAGCTGACCCACAGGGCCCAGCAGACCTCTCCTGTCTCCCCGCTGCTCCCCTCAGCAGTGTATTTCAGTCCATCTGCCTGTTCTGCCCCCCACTCTGTCTCTGGGGAATCCTCTCACTGCCCCTGCACCTCTGGCCTGTACCCCAGTTCTGTGTGCACAAATAACTAAACCTTAAAAGGAAAAAATCACCTGCAGGATGGTGATAAAAGACCCCTCCTGAGTTGAGACAGGCCTATGAAAAGGCCCATTGTTTTGTCACTGGCTCACAGGGAGCTGCCTCCCGCCCCCGTCCCCATCGGTGGGGGTGGCTGAAACGCCCAAGGGCTTCCTGGCCCTAGGTACCCAGTGTGCTTCAGCTGAGTCAGCCTGGCTCTGCCCTCCGGTCAGGGCCGCAGCCTGGCTGGCTGTGGGCGGCCCCTGGAGGCTGAGCCCAGAGGGCAGCCGACCTCCCACCTGAGGTTCCACCACTCCTGGTTGTAGATGCCGTTGTGGATGGTGCCGTCGAAGACCTTCCAGCGAAACAGGTCCATCAGGTAGGCGAAGGGGATGAAGGGGATCTTCTCCAGGGCAATGCCCATCAGGAAATTGACCTCCTCCTCTGGGGAAGGTGGCACAGTCAGCTGCCGGCTCCCGCCTCCCTCGCGCTCTGCCCTGAGAGCCCACTGCAGCCCAGGCTGCGGCTGCCTCCCTGGGCCCCGGTGCCATCACCTGGATCCTGGTGCTGCTGGCTGAGCAGGCCTTTGCTGAGCAGGTGCCTGTGGGACGAGACCGACAGGGTGATGACTGACCCCACGGCCTCTTCAAAGGCCGGGTTGGCGCCTGCGCGGAAGATCACTGAGAGGTTCCTGTACTGCATGAAATACTGGATGTGGCCCATCTGGTGGAAGACGGAGAGCAGGTCTTCTATGGTCACCTCGGTGCACTTCTTTATCCTAGGGTTAAAGGGCAGGGGTCAAGGAGCATGGGGATGCCCGGGGAGACCGTTCAGGGAGGGCGTGCGGGCGGACTGGAGACCAGAGGGCCCCGGCTGCTGTCCTTCCTCACACCGGGAAGGACAGGCCGGCAGGTGGGTGGAGGCCTGGGGTGGGGGGCAGAGCTGGGAGCAGCAGAGCCCCTGTTGCCACAGGGGGTGCACCTGAAGTCCCTGCCGTTGTAGAAGTCCCAGGCGGACGCGTGGCATTCCACCTCCCGCCCGTCCGTCGGCCGCTCCAGCATGGACCGGCTCCAGAATTCAGGAGGGGTGGGCAGCAGCCCCATGGAGGTAAAGAACTTATCAGCCTCTTCAAACATCTTCGTGGGCCTCCAGTGCTGTGGGGAAGAGGGAGCGTTTGGACCCTGCCCGCTGGCAGGGGGCGGGGGGGGGTGCTGGGGCGGCTGCCCAGGAGGCCAGCGCTGACCTGGACTTTCATGATCTTCGTGATGTCCTCCGGGGGCTTATTCGGGAACGGCAGCACCAAGTCTAAGATGTTGACCCAAGACTGAGCCCACATGTTCCCTGGAGGGGGAGGGGAGGGTTAAGAGGCCTCCTGCACCTCTGCCCCCCCACCGCCCAGCAGCACGGGGCCTTTACCCAGGAGGTGGGCCGGGATGGGCCCCCGCAGGTCGATGGTGGGGGGCCCGTAGTGGCGGTGCAGGGCGCGGCGCACGTAGGCATGCAGGTTCAGGTAGAGCGGCCGCAGCTCCTGGTACAGCTGCTCCAGCTCCCGCTCCAGCGTGTCTGACTCGTACTTAGACCGCCACATGGCCCCCATGTCTTTGTAGCCTAGGGCAGAATGGGCGCTCGGAAGCGCTCACCCCCCCCCCCGACCCGACCCCCGTCTGGAGGCAGGAGACCCCAGCACCTGCTAGAGAAGCCGCTGGGCCCTCCCCCCAGTAAGTGGGAAAACAGCTCCCGAGACCACTGTCCGTGCTGGGTGAGGTGAGCGGAGCACAAGCTCTTAGCAAAGAGCGGACCCCAATACCCTCTCAGCCTGGCTGGATGGGTCAGACCTGGCCCCCTCACCCATATTCAGCTCCACCCACCCCGGCCCTCCATCCTCCTGGCTTCCCTGAAATTCTCCCAGCTCTGGTTCCCTCTCGGCAGAGCCCAACCAGATCTGGCTCGCTGGGCACTGGGTGACCTTCTGCGCTGCTGCTCCTGTTCGCTCCCTCAGCAGCCCCGCTGTCCTCTGTTCTGCTGCACAATATTGTCCAGCTCCCCAGGACAGCAGAGCCTCGAAGGCAGGTGGTTTTCCCTGCCTTTCACCTGCTCAGAACCTCCCAAGTACCCACAGGTGCTAGACGCTCAGTCAGCGTCTGTAGAGCAACAGTGAGTGAACGCAGGGACCCCGCTGTGGTCCGGGGCTCCTATGTCCAGGCCTTCCACTCCCCCCTCCAGCCTCGGGCCAAGACCCGGGGGGTGGGGAGGTGTGGGGGGGCAGGCTCAGAGGCCCTCACCGTTGAGCTTGGCAATCTTGTTGCTGAGACGCACGTAGTGCTCGAAGACGAAGCGGAGCGGGCGGCCCACAGCATCCCGCCAGCCCTGCCAGGCCCACACCAGCTCCTTCTGGTCCTGGGAAGTGGCCATGATTTCTTGGAGGTCTGTGGCAAGAAAAAAAAAGGGAAGATGGGACTCCCGCCCCCTCCCCATTCTTGCTTACTTACTTACTTTCTTTTTATTTATTTATTTATTTGTGCATACAGATCTGGGGTGCAGACCAGAGGCGCAGGGGCGGTGAGAAGCTTCACCAGAGACAGAGTGGGGTGCAGGACAGGCAGATCGATGAAGTACACTGCTGAGGGGAGCAGCGTGCAGGTCAGGAGGGGTCTGCCGTGCCATGTGGTCACCTCCGGGGCAGGGATTGAACTCACACTGAAGTGGCTGCCGCCAGCTTGCAGTGCTGCGTCCTAGCCAGTTGCACCACCAGGGAGGGACCCTCTTGACTACTTTCTACCCTCCCTTGCCTTAGGCAGCTCTTGTCCCCCCAGAAGGGAGAATAGTTGGGGGGGGGAGAAAGAGTGGGACTTGGGAGCCTCATGGAAGGATGGGCGGGTGGGAAGGGCCTGGGCTGGGCTCTCACCAGGTTCCAGGGGTAGGCAGGGTCCCTCATTCAGGCACACCTGGGCCGTGCTGTACGTTGTCTCCATGTAGGCCAGAAGCTGGTTGTACTGGGGGGGAAGGTGTCACCCAGGGCAGCCCCAGGCCCCATGGCTACCCCCAGCCTCACAGGCCCGCAGAGGGCTGCACTTGCCCCAGCCTTTGCTTCCCTCCTCCCTCCCCACCCAGGGAAGCCCCGCCCCAGGCCCCCCACCACCCTCCTGGCTCAGACACTGGTCCCACCCAGCTAGTCCACCCACCCCTGGAGTGGGGAGCCTGTGCCTGGAGAACTGGGGGTCCGGCATCACCTCCTGGAGGTCGTCCTGGGGCAGGGCTGCCTTGTCTATGTGCTGCAGCTTACTCAGCATGCGCTTCACAACCGGGCTCTGCAGGTCAGCCATCTTAAACAGGCGGGCCCGGGAGCCGAAGTACAGCATGTGCTGGGAACGCTTCACGTCCTTGAGCAGCTGGAAGGGGGTCACTGTCTTTGTGGTGGGAATTTGGTGGAGAGGCAAGGGTCCCACATTGACCCTCAGAGCCTCGGCCCCCCCCAACCTCCTCCCAGAGCCCACTTGAAGGGCTCAGAATTATCAAAGATTTGCTGAGAGGGAGAAGGGAAGGAGCCTGGGTCCCGAAAAGGCAAAGAGGTGCTAGTGACAAGAGAGAGGAACAAGAAATCCTCGCCTGGAGAGCCTTTAGGGCCGCCAGGAGGCCTGGAGCTCGCAGCCTGCCTTGCCAGTCGGGTATCCCTCTGCTCTCTACCTCTGGCCAAGGGGCAGAAGGTATAACTCTCCTGACCCCCCCAGGAGCCCTGAGGAAAGTGAGGGAGAAGGGCTGGGGTGGAGGTGGCACTTTACCATCTCTTCTTGATTCTTCTTAGTGATGTTGGTAACATAGTTCCAGGTGGCCTCCATCAACTGGTTCCACACAATCCGGGCAGTAATCTCATAAAACTCCAGGAACGACATCGCCATGGTCTCATTGTAGACTGCGTCTGGGCTGTGGCCCGTCACATTTTCCTTGGGGTTGACTGTCACTTGCTGGCCCTCTTGTCTGACCTCATTGTTCTTCAGGTCCCCAAACAAATGATCACCCTCTGTCCTGAGCCGTGGCAAGAGCTGCCCATAACAGAGGAGCACAAGTAGGGAAGGTCCAGGGCAAGTCCATCTTGTGCCCATGACCAAGAGAACAGCAGAGCTGGGTGAGACTATAGGCCAATCACAACCGAGCTCCATATTGTGACATCAGGGGCTAAAGGGTCAGCCATGGAATGTCAGAACTGCAACACCCCCACCCACCTTCTGGCCCAACTGTCCCCATTATGCAGGTGAGGAGAGAGGGCCGGAATGGCCGAGCCATCTGACCTGGTTCACACAGTGAGTTTGTGGCAGAACCAAGAAGAGAACCAGGGTTCTTGACTTTTAGATCAGAGCTTGTTCTCTAGTTGATCATGTCTTCCCGGCAGTGAAGCCACCCTTTGGCCTCCTTCCCCAAAGGCTGGAATCACCAAGAGCAAGTGGACTGGAGCATGGATGGATGGATAGATGGGTGGGTAGATGGACGGATGGACGAATGAATGGACAGATGGATGGGTGGGTGGGTGGATGGGTAGATGGGTGGGTGGGTGGAAGGATGGAGGGATGGTTGGATGGATGGTTGGATGGATGGATGGGTAGGTGGGTGGGATTATGGATGGATGGATGGATGGACGGACGGACTGATGGACGGATGGACGGATGGATGGATGGACGGATGGATGGATGGACGGATGGATGGAAGAAAGTAATCTCTGGGCCTCTGGACCCTGAAGTCCAGTTGTCTTTTTATGTTCTCTGACTTGATCTTCTGCATTCATATTTTATAAAGTTTTGATTCCTGAACTGATGAACGACTGATCTCAGGCAAGACCTTCCTCCTGCATCAGCTATAGAGGCACAATTGATCAAACGCAGTACTGCTTCTGTTGGTTGGTTTGTCTTTGTCAATCATAGTCACCATGCTATACATCGTATCTCCAGGATTATTTATCTTATAATTGTTATCTGAGCGACAAAACATATATTTCTTGTAAATGATAACATCATACTCCATGTCTTCTTCGAGGAGCTTTATGGTTTTAGGACACACATTCAAGTCTTCAATCCATTTAGAGTTGATTTTCCGTGTGGTGTAAGGTGGTGGCTTGATTTTCCGTTCCTTCCCACGTGGCTGTGCAGGCACCCCAACTCCACTGATGAAGACAGTACCCTGTACCCCCTGAAGAGTCTTCACTCCTTTGTCCTAAGTACAGTGATCACATATGTGTGGGGGTTTTCTCTGTTTTCTACTCTCTTCTGTTGAGCTGTTTCATGTGAATAATATATTCTATACAATAGATGGTTTGAAGGCAGGAAGCATGATAGTTTCCAATTTTGTTCTTCCTCAGAAAGCAATTATCTTTATAATGTGCAAAATGCAGAGCTGAGTTGGAAAGCAAGAAAGTGGACTCTTTACATATAAGAGAAGCAAACCGATACTGCAATGATCAGGGGCACCTCCGGGAAATCAGGGTGCATCCGTGCCCTCGAGGCCATGGCATTGGTGCCTGTGTGGAGATGACAACACTAAGCAGAGCTGGAGCCAGTCATCACTGTAAACTTCAGAACACATATTTGTGTTTCTCCAGTTGCTAATCTATCGGCTCCCCTAAAACAACTTCAACCAAACTTCCTAGCACTAACCTTCCTCCTTTTGAGTTGTTTCTATTGACAGATGAATTGAAAACTTATGAAACAGCAGGAAACCATGACCACTGTGGCTACAACTTCCACCTGTTCAGCAGCCACACAATGGCCTCGAGTTTCACTGGAGCCAGGAAAAGCTGTACTCCTTGGCCACAGAACAACCAAACTGGGCTGACCCCCCTGAGAAATCATCTCCTTCCAGGGCCCTCCGTGGTGGTGCAACAGGTTAAAGTACAACACTGCAAAGCTAGCCACAGCCCCGGAGGTGACCCACACGGCGCGGCAGACTTCTCCTGACCCCCCTGCTGCTCCCCTCAGCAGTGTACTTCATAGATCTGCCTGTTCTGCTCCCCGCTCTGTCTCTGGTGAAGACTTTTACCACCCCTGCACCTCTGGTCTGTACCCCAGTTCTGTATGCAGAAATAAATCTTTTAAAAAAATACAGAACTTTATACCACGGACAGAAATCAACCCAACAGTTAGACATAAGGGCTAGGCTAGAAAACTCTTAGAAGAAAACAAATCTTTACAATGTTGAATTTAGCAACGACTCCTTGGGTATGATGCCAAAAGCACAGGTAACAAAAGAAAAAAACAGACAAACTGGGCTACAATGGTAAGAACTTTTGTGAATCAGAGGATGTCATCAGAGTACAAAGGGGACTTGCAGAATGAGAATGAATATTTGCAAATCATCTATCTACTAAGGGGTGATATCCAGAATACATAAAAACAGAAATAAAACCAAAAAACTTTCCAGGCCCTCACTTGTGGTGCCAGGGGTTGAAGTGCTGCACTGTGAAGCTGTCCACAGCCAACTGCAGCACCAGTTCGATTCCTGGCCAGGGAGGTGACCCAAGGGTGCAGCAGACCTCTCCTGCTGCCCTCAGCAGTGTATTTTAGTGGATCCATCTGTTCTGCTCCCCACTCTGTCTCTGGTGATTCCTCTCAACGCCCCCCTATCCACTCCCTACACCGGCCTATACCCCAACTCTTGTATGCATAAATAAATGAAAACAACCCTTTAAAAAATTAAATGGCTCAAGGACCTTCCTGCTGGCCTAGGGGTTAAGTCCCAGCACTATCACCACTGCAACCTGGGCGTGATTCCCCAGCCAGGGAGCTGACTCTCATGGTACAGCAGAGCTCTCTCTCCTGTCTCGCCCACTGCTCCCCTCAGCGATAGATTTCAGTAGATCCACCTGTTCTGCTCCCCACTCTGCTTCGGGTGAATCCTCTCACCCCCTGCACTCTGCCCTGACCCCAGTTCTTCTACTAAATAAATAAATATTAAAAAAATTAAAATGGTGCAAACAGTACATTCTATAATAAAAAGCCTTTACCACATTAAAAAAAAAAAAAGGTCATAAATTGATAGGAAGGAACAGAAACCAAGAAACAAGAACAGGCTGTTGTGAGGACATAGGTTGTTTGAAAGCAGCAGAGCTCCAGGTGTGAAGAACACAGGTATGCCACCCAAAGGGTAATGGACAGACCCAGCAGCCACTGAACTGCAGAACTCTGCGCCTGGAAGATGCCTGGAACTCAGGACAGAGAGAGACGAGAAGCGTGAGCAATAATCAGGAGACTGAGGAGCCAAGACTAGAAAGCAGCAAGCAGGGCATGTTGGGCGTCCCCCATGAGGGGAGCAGAGGAAGGCCATCATTCCCGGCGGGGGTGACTGTGTCCAGAACGAAGAAGCCGGTCCCAGCTGAGGGCCCTCTGTGCTTCCAGGAGGGGACAGTGGACAGCACGGGGAGGAACCAGGCGCCTGTTCTTGGAAAGCACGTGAGGACACGGGGGTGGGGACAGTGCACGCGACTGTCAGGGAAGCAGCTCTCTTTCCTCATCCTCAGATGGCCTGACCCTGGCCTGACCTCCTTGCTCTCGTCATCTGTGTCCTGGGGATACTCGAAGCGTGAGGCTGACATAAAACAATCGTTACGGAGATGACGGATCCAGTATGAGAGGAGGAGGAGCGGGCTGCACGCTCACCTGCAGCTCCTCCGACTCACCACGGTGGAGGCGCACAAGGGCCATTTCATGGGTGTGAGATGGAGGCTTTGAAAAGTGAAATCAATTGCTTGAGGTCACAGCAGTACGGGCAGAGGTAGAACTTGACCCAGACCTCTCTAAAGCCGCCAGCTTCGCTCATGTCAGAGTCAGGGTCGGCCGGATGTGGGCCGGCATGTGGAGGAAGGGTGGGTGTCTGTACATCACAGAAACTGTCCAGCAACCCTGGGCCCCTGTGGTCTGAGTAGCTGGCAGCTGGCCACGGAGGAGCCACTGGCCAACAGGCCTGGGCAGGCACAGCATGGAGAGGGGCCCAGACCTCAGGGTCCCAGTAGAAAATGTGGAATGGCCCTTCCTCCTGCTCTCAAGAGCACCTCCTTTTCCTCTGCCACCTTCTGGGCAGACCTGACCTCATCCCCACTGCCCAGGGAGGCGGAGATCAGTCTGAACAATTTTGATGTTTTTCAAAGACCTCTGACTAGGCCGGTCGGGCTAAGCTCGCTGTTTAGCTTCTTGGCTCCTGCTCGAGCTTGGAAGCCTGGGTGTTGCGCGCTGGCGCCCTGTGCTGCCCCCAAGCTTGGGGGGCATCCGGACCCCTTGGGTTCTTCACGAAAACATGAAAGTGATGTGACGATGACCTCTGTGTGGCAGACAGAGTTTTCTAAACATCAGCCTGAGGAGGGGGTAACTAAAGAAGCCTTCAGTGGTCGAGAGCAGGGAACGAGGCAGAGGACGTGTTTATAAATTCCATTGTCTTAAGTAATCGTAAACTTCTACCCTCTTGCATATCCAAAATACCTCAACTCCACATCCTGCACTATGGAATAGGCCTGAGCAAGTCTACATGCAACATGCAGACACTCACACACACTCTGATGCAGGGCAGCTGCAGAGGGGGTGTCAAAGCTGAAGACTAAAGGCTACTGGGGGTGGGGGGCAGACATGGGCGTCTGGGCCCGGCTTGGTCAAGGCCTCAACAAAGGCAGGAAGACACGCAGGGTGAGGGTCCTGGCAGCAGGGCCAGGCTGGCCAGCTAAGCCTCTGGCCAACTTCCACTTGGCCAGGCTCTGGGTTTGACATTGCATATCTGAAAAATAGATCTAGTTGTGTTAACTGACAAAAAGACACACAACTACAAAGAACAGGGCGGGTCTCTGTAGACTACGCGCTGAGAAAAGAGAACCCGAAATGTCGCCAGGACTTCTCTCTCGGTGTTGGTATACAAAGGGCTTTTCTTTCTTTTCCAGATTTCTACAATGAGCACGTAGGTAGAAGTCATAAAACGACACGCCTCAAACCCGCGCTGGCTTCCCACGCAGGCTCAGGAAGCAGCGGACCCCTCGGGCAGCTAGTCACTGCCAGCCGCACTGTGTCCAGGGCCCTCTCCAGTGCCACAGACGGGCCCGGCCCGGGCCCCTTGGCAGGCCGCGAGCGGGACACTCTACTCCACAAGTGCACGTGGACCCGGGAGGAGCCGGGGGCCCGCGGGCTGGCTCGCACCCTCTGCAGGCAGGTGCCTCCACCTCGGAGCCAGAGGCCAGTAAGGAGCCCTCCCTCTTGGGGACCTGGCCACTTAGGGAAAGGGCCAGGGCAGGTGCCAATAGTGTGGGGGGCTCTGGGCAGGGCTCCCAAAGCAGCAACAGCAAGGCCAGAAGCCAGAATGTCCGCTCTTCGCTTACCAGAGGCAGGGCCCATGGGGCTGCCTGTCATGGCGGGACGTGGCCCAGCTGCAGGGCCAGAGGGCAGGGGTGTGGGCCTGTGTGGTGTGGGAGCAGCTGCTCTGGGGGCCTCCCGGGCTTTTCTTGAAAATGTCCAGCCAAGAGGCGTGCCTGATGCCAGGATCAGGACA